AGGGAGTTTCACCAGAAATGTAGGGAAGGCTGGCTTGGGGATGTAGCCAAAAGCTTACATGTCTCCTTGCTGCTAATGGGTGCTGTGATGCCAGGCAGTAACCAATTTGTGACGGTGACTAATGCAGAAGGCACTTTAGAAATGAGTACACAGCTGTTTGAAGTTTAAACTATATTGAGTTACAACTTAATTGGTCCATAATCATGAAGCAAACACTTGCCAGTTGTACTGATCATCTTTCAGCCCTGAACTAAGCAGACTCTCGATACTGGAAAGTTACGTCTCATGAGAAAATATTATGTGCAAATATGAGTAAATCCAGCCCAACTTTTCAATAGACATTTCAGACCCTAGCTCTCCTGCTCAGTCCACATCCAAGCCCTTCCACACAACAGTCTTTAGAACCCTGACCTCTCCCTGGGAGGACTCTTTGTCTCCTTTGCCTTAAAAGCACGTCAGGTCTTACCTGCTCTTCTTCCAGATAGGAAGGAGCATCTCTCTCACAAATACAAAGGTGAAGCATCATCCCTTCCCAAAGAGTTATCTGAGGTCTGATCCTGCCCTTCACACAATTATACTTGGATCCCATCTATTCTCCTTTGTGACAAGAGCATTCAGCACTCCAGTGTCATCCCCATGACCACTGCCAAAGTGGACCTGCCCCAGGTGCTTAATGTTTTATGTAGAACTTTTCTCACCGCAGGAGCAGAGGTGATTTTCTGCTGATTTCCTATTCAGCATCACAGGCGAGCCAGAGGCAGGCTCCGAAAAGCCTCTGAAAGGCAATTGAATGAATATACTGTTCCCTCCAATTGTTACTCCATCATTTCCTCTCATTACTCTAATAGAAACAAATCTTTCTCATCTCAGCCCTATTACCTCACACAAAGGCAAATGGTATGTAATCCTGTTAGAGCTGGGCTGCTGCTGGACACATTTTAAGGTCATTGTTCTGGGATGCCAGTCTCCACTGTGAGACTGGGAGAAGCGGGAAATGCAATTACGAGGCTATTCAAATCCCTAGAATGAAACCCTGCCGTTAGCAGGCAGAAGCCAGCAAGAAAAAGAGCAGTTGCTTTATGAAATTATAGGGTTTGGCTAAATCACGGTCTAATCAGCACCTCAGCAAAGGAGCAGGGTTAGCTCCTACTGCCTTCATGGAGTCTCCTCACTCCGCTCAGCCTGATCTTTGGCATCCCCAGTGGAAGCCCAGCCTGAAAGATGGGCTGTGATCGTGAAGCCAGTAGTGTACAGATCCATGGTAGAAAGTGGTGGTTCTTGTCCAGGGCTTGCTCTCTACTTGGAAATGGGGAAGCCCTAAGCAGAGCTCAGCAGCAGGAACCTGCCTGCTGCTGCCAGCACCACGTACTGTATTTTGGCTCTGGGCTTCCTGGGGCAGAAGATGTTGCATCAAATCTGTCTCCTAAAGCTCCTGGCCAGCAGCACCAGTCTTGCTGACCACTGGTGCAAGCCAGCACGGCAATCAGGTGGGAAATTCACATTGCTAAACTCACGGGACTGTGACACTCAGCTCCATCCCCATCCCTCAGTAATGAATTCACACACGGGATGGGAGAAGGGAGAAGAGGCAGAGCAATGCTAGTGGCAGTCAGTGAAGCAAAGCTGAACGGTATGGGAGGGAATGATCACAACTGCCTCATCAGGTTGGCTTCTGCTGAGCAGTTAGACACCAATCTGCTCCCAATTATTCCCACCTAGGTGAAGCCAAGGCCTTTTCAGCTGGATGGGTAGCAAAGAAAGATTTAGAAACCTGGCAGGACAAACCATAGGGAAGATTACACAGGAAAAGACAATGACCACCAGAAAACACAAGCTGAACCATTTTTTTTTTCCCCAGGCTTTTCCCAACAACTGACCTCCTACTGTCTTCTTTTCCTTCTGCCCCACCAAAGCTGTGTGGCTGCTCTCTCTGTGCTGTCCTGCAGTCAGGCGATCGCTCTTCTTACTGCCTTGATTTGATACCCCTCCTTACGTTCACCTTCCCTGCTGCCCATGTTCCCTCTGTCGCCCAAGATGAGGCTAGGTTCTCCCTGAAAGCAGGGCTGTTCTGGCAGGTCCCAGAAGGAAGCGATGAGGGCTGAGGCAAGGCTCCTGGCAGAGGAGGAGACAGCAGCCGATCACTGCTGGAGTCTCCAAGTCCCTTGAAGAGCCAAGAGTCACTTCCCTGTTTATGCTCTTTATTAGTCCCTATTCTCTTTAATCGGCTTAGACTGATGAGCCGAGGCAGTGGTAGGGATCAGCCGGGCTGTTTAATTAAAGGATTGCAGCTCAGCCCTGCAGTTTGGGGGTTTGTGTAAATGAGCTGCAAGTACATTATTTAATCTGCTGTGCAGAGAGGAGTTGGGGCATTAATGAAGCAAACTCTAATTAAAACTAGACGGTTGATGGTTATTAGTGGCATCAGTTCTGACAGGATTTATCTCATTTAGGGAAACGCTTGATCATGGAGGGAGAAAAGAAAGAATAAACCCAAGCTGGTTTATCGAATTCACCAAAGCACCACTTGTGACTGGTTGTCCCTTCAGCAGTGCTCAGGAGAGCTGCACAGGGAGCTCCTGCGTCCCAGGCTCTCCCATCGGGAGTCCTGATGAGCTTATTTAGGGATATTCCTGGCTCACCCAGGAACTGATTGCCTATTCAGGCTCTCTGACCCACATATTTCAGTCCTGATTGATTGACTTTTGTTCTGCCTTGGTTCAACAGGGAGCCTGCTCCTGATCTGAGCAGGGTGATGGGCTCTGTAAATGATCTGATGAGCTTCTCTCAGCGGTGCATTGAGTTATTCCAGAGCAGCACAGCTATCAGCTACAGACGTGAGCTCCATGGTGACCCTGTGGTTTTCCTGCTCTGCATTTCTCTTGCCCTCCTCACTGCACTGTATATGTGACTTCAGAAATGAAGGGTGCCCATGGAAGACTGCAGGACCTAGTGGAGGCTAGGAGGTGGTCCGGCCAACATAAAGCTGACCACTGAGCTCAATAGTCCTGCGTGTTCTCTGCCTTTCCACTGGCACAGTGTGGGAAGCAGGAATATTCTCACCTGACACCATCACATACAGAGATCGCATATAAATGCTGCTCTCTTTCAAAAAGCAAAAGACTTCTTGAATATTTCTTGTCTTCAAATAGCCACGGTGGCTTCAACCATCTCTGTCTCTACACAGAATAGTGTGTCACGCACAGACAGGCTCAGACTGCTACAAGGGTCTAGCCTAGGGGCATTAGAAATGGCAAAGAGAAAGCTGTGTAAAGAAAGTAAGGAAAGCAGAGGGCCTGCAGAGTGAGACAAACCACAAAAGACAGTCTAGGTGACATGGAAAGGGCAGCACAGAGCAGTGTGAGAGGGCCCTCAACTGGAAGCCCAGATGCAACATGCTGGGTCAACAGGTCAGTGTCATTCACCTTCGCTTCTGACTTCCTGCATATTTGAATGCAATTTGCCAAGTTGTTAAATTAATGGAATAAATGATTGTTTTCTCTTCGATTTACATGCCAAATCCCAGGTGAGAAATTTGGTGGTTCCCAGTACACAGAGGGCAGGTGAACTGAGGCTCAAGGGATAGGTGGGGTCTTTGGGAGTCACTAGGCTGGAAAAAGAAAATCTGACGCATGAGCATGACAACAATTCACCTAGAGCTTAAGGCACTGTGGAAATGACAGCCTCATAGGATAAGAAAAAGCTACAAACTAAGGGATAGGGAATAAGATAGAGGCTGGGACAGGAATGTGGCAGGGGCAAGGATCAGGGTATGATGACAGATAGCTATGGCAAAATTGAGCCTTGATTTATACAAAACAGAGAACGTGATCAAAACCCTCTCTCTTGAGAAATGCAAGGGAGAGGTGGCTGTCCCTACCACAGCAACCTCTGTTGTTTCCTTTTCCTTGCCAGCACCTCCCCATCTGCCACAGAGATGCAGCTGCAGACATCCCACAGGGCCGTCACACAAACTTTACCAATCCTTGAGAGCTCTCAGCACAGACATCACAGGGTGCTAACCCTTCCATCCTCATACACAAATGGGAATGAGGGGTCCTGCTCCTTTACCCTGTCTTCAAGTGTGGCCGAAGCCTGTTTTGAACGTACACATGTGCACGTATGGCTATTCTCTTTGTAGTTGTCTAGCACTTACACTTTTCCTTGGAAGGAAATCAGAAATCACAGCCTGCTCCGGTGAGCAGAACAAGCAAGAGAAATATCATTTCAAAAATGATGTAGCCTCACTACTGCAATTCAGCTGCCCCGTTCTGCCCAGAGCCCTCCCCGGCAACTTGGGCTTCTTCTACTGATGCCAAATGCCTGATGTAAAAGTCCTGCAGTGTGATGAGGGAAATCTTTAAAGAGAAATCTGTTTACTGTTGACAGAAGGCTGATGAGGCATGGCAAAAAGGAGCAGGTCTGTGAAATGGTGGTATAAGAAGCTGTGAGGGGAGAAGGAGATGGCAAAAATGGAGGAACAAGGCAAGCATGGAAACTATATCCAGTATGTGCATCTCAAGTAATTTTGATGTACTCCTTGGACCCCTTGGTTTTGGCACTGATGTCCTCCACTGATGAAGGACAGCTGTGATAAGTGCTGGTGTGCCCAACCCTACCTGCACTGAATACAAGTTGGTAAAGGTTAATAGCACCAGCCTATAAGTGTAAAACCGTACCCCTCTGCTTCAGGCTGCCTCAGCCCCAGCAGTTGTTGTGAACAAGTGAGATCCCAGCGGGGCATTTCTGAGAGGTCAACTCTCACCCCAGGCATGCATGGGAGAGACGAAACAGATACCATGTGTGCCACGGTGCTAGGCAGAACTCTGACTTTGTTGGTGACTTTTGCTGGAGGATAAAGGTCTATACCACTGTGTGCCCGGGTACCTTATCACGTGGGGTAACTAATTTAATTTTTTTCTGGGGCAGGAAGATCAGTGATGGGTGATGAGAAAGCAGGAGAGGATGAACACGAAAAGACCTCGCTGGCAGCAGTTTCCCACCTTGGAGAGGAGTCTGGAGATGAAGGCTTCTGCTCTGCGTCAGCTGCTGGGCAACAGAACTGGTGTAAAACAGTTTCATTCCTGTAAGAAAAACAAAAACAAAAACAAACAGGTTAGTGTTCAGCTCCCTTGGCAGAAAACTCAGGTCTGTTCCAAGAGGATGGTGACATCCAATGATGTTGAAAGAGAAATCTGATTATTAAATGAATATTTTACACTCTGAGATGTTGTTTAGCAGGAGATAAGGGGGCTAGCAATTTTATACCTCTCCTTTACTCTTCCCGCTGCTGATGTGAAACTGTAGAGAACAGTCAAAAGCACACAAACAGGAAGTTGTTTTTTCTGTCAGTATTTGTCTCATGATCCCATACATTTCATGAAAAATAGGTTCACCAGTCTCTAATGTTTATTTAATTTGGGACACGAACATCTCCTTAGATGTGTTTCCTTAGATATGTTTCCTATGCATTTTAATGCAAATAAGTTGATTTTTTTCATGGCAGTGGCTGAATTAACTCTGCAGACATTTCTCCCGAAGCCATTCTTAAGCACAAAAATGGCCCCAGCACATCAGTACTGGAGATTGCCAATAATAGTAGAGAAAAAACTGACATGACATGCACAAGTGGTGGGCTGTGATCGTGAGCAGAATAGAAAGTAGGAAGAGATCACAGCAAAGAAAAACAAAAACATAAGTAATGAACCTGAGGAAAATAGGAAAACAAAAGGCTAAAAATCTGTTTATTAGATGAGAAAGGCAAAAGAACTCATCCAGAGTAAGAAATGCAAGACTGAGCTTTCCAAAACTGTTCACTAATCTTGGTGACGTGCTCTTGGGTCTCTTGCTGAAAACATTTGTAAGTAGCCTCATATTCAGGGATGCTGGGCACTTACCATAGCACTGGAGCCCAGTAAGACCTGCTCAGCACTTCTGAAAATTAGATCCTTTAAAAATAGTTCCTTGTGGACCCTTGAGGAGTCAGAGGCAGCACAAATCAACAGCCAACTTTGAACACCCTGACCTTCATCAATGAAAAGGAGTCACTAAAAAGAGACACAGCGGCAGGCAAAAAAGTAGTAGATGAACGGTATTGAAAAGAAGAAGAGGAGAAGAAAAGCAGGTGATACAAAGCAGGCTGACCCCTCAGATGGCACAAATCACCCTGTCTCCAAGTCTGTGGAACAGCACTTAGAGCTCTGTTCTCAGCATACTGCGGAGACCCAGGGCTCAGATGGGGTCATCTCATTTTAAAAATATTTTTGTAGCTTCTAGCCCAGACATAAGCAGTAAAGCTAGGTCTCCTGGCTTCTCATGGGGTCCCTTATTCTTCCAATGGTCGTGCCACACTTTCTGTCACTCTGAAATGTGAATTTTATTGTCTTCGTCTTTCTCCAAATATGACAGAGATTGGCCACTAAGACAGCTAAATTACAGACAACAACGATCCTCCTCACAACCACCACATTTCAGCCTCTCAGCTAGTTCAATATAACAAACTGCCCAGTTCTTCTGCTTCCTTGACTTCCAATGCATTGTCAAAAGGCATCTTTCCCTAGAAGCAGCAGGATTAGTGGGAGGAACGCAGCAAGGTGAAGAAGAAAGTGTTAGCTTTACCTCTGTGATCTCTGTCCATGCCCTAGGTAGCTGCCTGTGACATGCAGCCTGCTAGAAAAGAAGGGAAATGTTTGTGTGACATACCACATTCATCTCCTGATCTTCATTTCTGTAACTACCCAGCTCACATCCCTTCTCACCTGCCAGCCTGGTTATTGCTGAGTCTCACTACATTGTTTTTAAATTCAAACTTATCACGTGGCAAGTATCTGTCTGTCTAGTGTGTACATAAACTACCTGTGTTGTCTTCTTACTGAAGAAGGTGGTAAGGTCACTTTTGAGCCTTACACTCAAGCAGACTTACACGAATACTCAAGCTCCTACATCTTGTCACTCTGCTTCCAGCTAGAAGTGTTTCAGAAAAAGGAATTTTCTGGTAAAATTTTGTTTTTGCAGAAAACACTGAACCATCACACTAAAACTATCTGGTGACATCTTAGGTTTGACAAAGATCCTTCAAATCACAGAGTTTTACCTGGACTTCCCAGCAAGCTGCTGGGAAGCAATGCCTCCACACCCCAAAGCTCTAGCACAGCCATGCCATACAAGTAGTCCCTTGGACAGGGGCCATCAGGTTTCCAGTCTTCCCATTCACCTGGCTCTTTGTTCTGCCCAGCTCCCAGAGCAGTCTGCACTGTCCTCTGCCTAACATCAGATGCACCACTCAGCTTGCTAATTACACATAAAGAAAGGAAACAACAGGGAGGGGAAACATAGGGGAAAAGAGGAATGAAAAAGTACAGACAAAAACCTGAGAAACAGAAGCAATTCCTTGTTAGGTAATTATCAGGACAGAAACAAAAAGAAAAGTACTGGGGAAACAGGGACAGGAAGAGTGGCATTAAGTTACAGGACTTTAGGCTCAGTGTTCTGTGGGCATTTTAAGAAAAAACGTCTTACAGGTGCTCTTCAGAGAATCAGGATGCTCTGAGCAGTGCAGCTGCACAGTTATTGACTCTGGTTCTCATGGTTTCTCATGCGTGTTTCACACTAACGTTGGCTATTTTCTGACCAAACCACAGTCCTCTTGAGTCTCTGAGATCCCAACATCTCTGGAGTAGTCTCACAGCTTACATACCACTACCAGGTATTGATTATGCCCACAGGCAGAAATCTGCCTCCAGGCCATTTGGGATCCATGAGTCCAGTGCCGTGACACCCAAGAAGTGCCCGAGGAGGAGATGAGGAGCAGGCACTGCCCAATAGATACACCATGTAAATGGATGCTCCAAGAGTGCTGAACTTTCTCTTCCCTGCAGGCAAGGAAGGATATCTTGTCTCTACACATGTTCCCCAAATACCCAGGTGCAGTTGCAACTTTGGGTCTACTCACATTCTTCTTTTACAACTTTCATCTCTTCCTCTTTTGACCTACTCAGGCATACACCACAGGAAGTGGCTTCCATTTTGGAGCCTATCTGCATTCATTTTCCTCTTTCTTTCCACCTCTTGATCCTGCATATATCTGATGCTTTGCAAATCTGTGTGAAAAGTGAGCCCCTTGCCTTTACAGCATGGCATGCATAGCCCAGGAAGGAGCTGGGAAAGGAAGAGCTGACAGGCTACAAAAGAAATGGACCTGTTCTCACCCTGAAGAGGCCGTATTAATTGCCATCCGGACAAAGGAGCTCTTATCTGGGTGCAAAAGGCAAGTGTCTCAGGGCCCTGCTATCACTTCTGAGGCTCAAGTAAGTGTTCTAGCAAAGCAGCTCTCTTTTTAACTCTGTGAAGTCTTCAGGTAAGATGTTATTTTTGATGCTGTGATTGAAGAGGGCCTGGCAGGATTGTAATGGCTGGTGGCTACCAGGATTTCATTCCCCTGTGGCATTGTCAACCTTTGCAGCTTTAAAATAAGTCTTGAGATATTTAGTACCTCTCTGAAGTCAGTGTAAGTCTTTTGATGTTTTTTTTTTTTTTTTTTTTTTTTTTCTTTCTTTCTTTCTCTGCTTTCTTTTTATTTAGCTTTTAAACAAATCTGACTTCAGAAGTCAGAAATGCTACATAAAATTTGAATGTGCAGCCTCTGAGGAGTTAAACACCAGAAAGCATACGGTTTGTTTTGCCTTTGGAAAACAGGGAGGAAGGCAATGTGTCGTCAGTCTGGTGGCTGTTGATTCAGACTCATTACTTTGGGGTGCTATCTGTAGTTTCTTTCTTTTTAAATATTTCATAGCTGGTAATTGTTTTTCAGTTAAAAGGGTAGGCCTAGAGCTTGCTTTTTGACTTTCTGTCTTTTCCTCTGTGTCCTCTACATTGCATTCCTCAGGCTTGCAAATCGTTGCAGAGACTGTTGCTAAAAAAACAATGTTTTAGGCAGAGCAGGCAGGATATCAGGAAGAGAGATGATTTCTCCTGTCCGTCAGGATACAGTTAAGTGTTGTGTTTGCAATGTATTGCTTTAAAACCAATCAAATGGTCATCGCTTGGCCTGCACCCCGAAAAAAAGCTGGAAGAGAAAAGCCAGCAAGAAGGGAAGGTGTTTTGGGAGAGAGAAGACGAGACGGATGGTACAAAAGAGAAAAAGGCAAATGGAGAGGGGGAGGCATGTTGAAGTGCCTATTGAGGTAAATGCTGCCAGCAGTATGTGAGCGGTGTGTGGAGGAGCAGCACAGTACAAAGGCAAGCAAAGATGCAAGAGGAGGACTGGGAACAGCCTGAGCCTGTCAGTGCCTTGCTCTGTCTAGCTGGGACACATGCTCCAGAGGCAAGGATTTGACAGTCCAGACCTATCTTAAATGCAGAGAAAGCTGTATTTGACCCAGTAGCAACCTGCGTTGTCAATTGAAACGTCAGCTTCCTCTCCTCTGAGAGAAAACAACTGACTGACTTTTATTCAGTTGTCTCTAACATTGCTCCTGACAAGAGGTATCCTCCAGCCAGCTGCCTCCAACTTCACTGGGGATATCTGTGGATGAACAGCTTGGCCGCAACAATTTTTGCTCTGTGACAAACTTTAGAGAGGCCTGTGCCAAACCTTCTGGCTAGCATGAGCTGTCTAGTTGGCGCAGGAGTTAGCTCTACCTTTCTGGCTTCTTAGAAAGCTGGATTGTGCTGCAAAGAGATCCTCTGACTCATGTTACTTTGGCCTTTACAGCTGTAGATCCCATAGAGCCAAGCCTCTTTACTCTTAAAAACTAGTGTTAGAGAGGGTACAAGTGTTCAGCTCTAACAACTGCAAGTCTCTGTAGCTAAGTAGATTGCACACCACAGGTCCAAAGGTGTGCAAACTTTCCTAAAATTGCCATAATGCTGTATCTACTCTTAAAACAAGCACCTGGGGTTTCACGTTCATTCAGTCTTATTGACCATCCAAAGCATCAGTACTCACTAGTTTGTCGTTGATGACAGCTGTCTCAAAATACAGACCCATCTGCTGAGAGCTGTATTAAGGTAAAAAACTCTAACCCCTCTTTCATCTTCTCCCACAATGCACAAAAGCAAACCCCCAGCCCAGACAGCATATAGA